TCAGTCGCTTCTGTCAAATGCAGCGGCAAGTGACTTTAATCACTCTGGCTGTCACTGGGATGTGGAGAGCTGGCCTGGCTCACAAGTCAAGCACTCCTCAGAGTCAGACTACACAGCCTGCAAGTGTTATCTGGACAAAGAAAGGTTTCTGTTCATGGACAGACTGCACGATGTAGACAGGAAGCCTTGCCCAGCACAGAGCTAGACTGTGAGTCTGAAGAGAAACCTTGCCCAGACCATTGAACACCCATGCTATCTAAAGAGAGAGCTGGCTCAGGGCAAAACCAGCTATGAAGAGAGCAGACAGAGCATGATGATGCAGTAGCCAGGATAGAGACCTCATCCACTTTCTGGCTAAAATACACCTCTGGAGACACAGCCTCCAGATTCAGCCTGAGGCCCATCGCAGATAAACCACACTGAAATTAAGACTGTTCCATGAACTAGCCAACCCCTGGATGGAGTAAACTGGGTCAATTGACAGTAAGATATTACTGTCTATTTACCTTTTCTTTTAAATGTAAATAAGCACATGAGTTGAAAAGGAGAACTAGTGGCTAGCAATACTTTCTTGACCTTGTTATGCAAGGATGCTGGGAGCCCCTAGACATATTGCACCACAACAGAGAGAATCCTTCTCCTTTCTCTGAGATCTAGCTGAGGAAGTAAGAGAGCCTGGAGAGTTACTTCAGATAACACATTGTTTCAGAGCAAGCTGAAAGAGTTAAAGGCTTTATCACTCACCCTGCAGGTTCACCCCACGCTATCCATCCAAGAAAGTGGGGACCAAATCAAGCCCCATTCGTTCACTGCAATGTGCAAGACAGTCTATATGCCAGTGTGCAGTGCCTATGGTGTAGAGCACTCAGCCTTATAAATCCTGTTCTCCATAGCAGAGAGCCAATGCTATTTGCTTCCATAAATCCTGTTGAGCGCAGAATTCCCAGTAGACTCATCAGCCCAAACCCTGCAGGCAGCTGGGGTTGGGCAGCAGCACCCCTTGGTGGCTGCGGATGTGCTGCAAGGCTGGAGGGGAAGGAGAAGGTGAAGAAAACTTGGCAGATGTTGTTTGGATGGTTCGTTTGGTCTTGGCCCCTGTGATCCCGCTGTAGGGTCCCAATGGTGGCAGGGGGAGTGTGGATGATCTTCTGTGCTTTCTACGAGGTTCATGTTGACTCTCCTGCTGCAGGGGCTGTGTGGCTCCAGTAAATGCAACCTTCCTGGCAAAGGCAGGACAGCCACATTCAGCAAATACATACATCTAAACTCCAGAATATAAAAGCTTTCCCCCTTTCTGCATTTTCTTCTTCTGAAACAAAAGGAAATAAAAATTAATTGCCAGCTGTGCTTCCCACATCCCCTTTATTTTCTTTCCTTTCTATTCTTTTTTTTTTTTTTGCCCTGTAGCAAATGCTATTGCTTCCACATACTCTTCATGACATTCCTTTTTTCCTGTGCTGACCCCACCAATCACCTCCTGTCCACTCCCTGTCACACTCTGTTGCTCCCCAGTAAAATCATTCACACGCTCATCCACCCCAACTCCCCCTACCACTC